GTGCTTGGACCATTATCCCCCTTTTTTTAAACCATTTTCCCATCAATATATTTACATAAAATAAGTATCATGCATTCCATAAAATTGCATGATCCATCTCACATATTCTATAAGGATATGTCAAATATTATCAAGCAAATAAATACTATCAAATATAAATAAGATAATGCCAATATTTACTATCTATTCAAATTGACCATATTCCTTTAAAGCATACTTGCTATAAAACAAAATAAGCCACGATCAATACTTCCCTTCCAAGATTTGACCACATGCTACAAATCAAAGTTACCATAACTTAAAGTCTTGAACACAAAGCAAACAAAGAGAATCCAAAGGGTGAGGCGTGCCACCCTTTTGTGAAACATGTGGGCCCCCACCCACATGCTATAATGGTGGGCCCTTGTGCACTTTGGAACCCCCATGGAATTTTATAAATAATTTTAAAATTAAACAAATTAATATATGAATTTTTACAATTTTGTAAAATCAATAACTGTATTTTTATAAGTCCAAAAATCATAAATAAAATATTAAAAAATTCATAAAAATTCAAATAATAAAACTAAAATCATTTTAATAATAACATAAATACAATTAAATTAATATGATGGGGAAATGATCCATATAGTTTTAGAAATTCAATATGTAATTATGGAGTACTCTACTTTCAACTGTGGACTACAAACTATACTAGCTTTATCGAACTGACCTAGTGTTTTCCATGACCCACAGCCCAAGCATGGGCTCATTAGCAGGTCACCAAAATCAGGCCAATGAATCAAGGGGTCGCAATCCCAGTCTGTGAATTGTAGGTCATCCCCCAGATACGAGTCAAGGTTATCACGACCTGATGCGACATCAGCTCTATGACGAATAGGGCTATCTCTCGCATATGCATATACTTCACCTATAAGTGGATATTTGGTTTTCTCGAACGATCTATCAATATGTATGCCGCGTGATGGAGCATGGATAAGGTTTTGGCCCCCGTTTCAGTAAGTCTACCATACACAAGGGTCACGCAGTCCCTCGGCTCACTCATCTAAGCATAAACTCCGACCTCATCAAGGGCTAACCCAAAACCCTCCTCGGTTAATTCTTTATGCCCAGGTACCTTGGGTTTTCTAACCGATTGGCCTAGATCGATAAGCATAGTCCCGTATAAGCAAGCATTTTTTGCTTAGTATGGTCCTCGAGGAACCATACGCGCATTGAGTTTATGTTTCACTATGATAAAAGTATTTCAATATACACTCATAAGGCCTTTAAAGTCCACATAAACCCCACAGTAGATCCTTATGCCTAGGTATCTTGGGTTTTTTCAAACTCGGCTGGCCTAGCATGTTGAGCCTAGTCCGAGTATTGGCAAATCGTATTTGCCTAATATGGTCTACAAAAGGATCACACTCCCACTGAGTTTATGTTTCACTATATAAAGTGCTCATATAAGCTCTTATAAGGCCTCTAAAGGCCACAAAAACCCAACAATTAAGATATCTCTAAAGTTTAAACCATATGATGTGGGCTTTAGGCTGTTCATGCTCACGTTTATCGCGGTAATGGTGTCTATGTATTGAAAGAGGACATTTTTAGGAACAACAACTCAAAGGTATATAGTGGTAGTGTTTGGGCTCTATGCTTGCTTTATTGTTAACCTTTTCATCTTATCCAATTTGGGTTGGAAAGGACCTTCACAAGCTTGTAGTCAAGGGCTTTAATGGTTTTAGAAACAATCACAGTTGTTTTTCTACCATAAAAAATGGGGTATTCATTAAGGTATTCTAAGTACCGTATAAAATGGGGTATTCATTACGGTAACGGTAATATGACTACCGTGAAGGTTATTTTGGTCATATAACGCCAAAAATTGAAAAAAAAGGGTATTGACAACGTTTATGAAAGTTGAGGTTTTTTTTTTCTTTCTAAATAGACGAAAATTAAGGTATATTTGTAATAATTTATCAATATAATACAAATATACATTAATATAAAATATATAACATATATTATATTATGTTGTATATTTATATTTATATGGTATATGGTTGATATATATATATATATATGTTATCAAACACAATATCTATAACTTTCTTAACATTCCAACAGGTTATCAAATACAGAATCTAGAACTTATTTAAATCTTTCAGAACAAAACATTCAACTTTCCAAAAAATTTAAAAACATTCAACTTTTCGAAAGATATTTAAAAAAAAAACAAACGTGCCTTTTGAGAACTAGAGGAATGTCATCTCAGTTCCTAGAGGAATGTCATCTGAGTTCTATCACACCGTGGTATTAGGGGTTAATGTCTTACCCCCCAGGACTCATGGTTGATTTGTCTTTTCAACTCTACCCAGTCCATGAGGCCCATGCGAGACTACATCTTCAACTTTCAATGTCTGTTTAATCTCTCTTTCATGACCATATCTTTTCTTTTCAATTAAGGGATGAGAATCTTTTGTTCAAGAATCAATAAATGTTTTATTTGACATGAGAAAAGTCATTTCTTTCTCCATATGATTCAATACCGTTTCATTAGATAGAAATAGATTGAATTTTCAATGGAAAAGTATATAATAAGGCTATTTATCTTAAAAAAAGTTTATATAAGGATGCTACCTTATAATCTAAAACTATAGTTGCCCTTCAAAAATCCATCGAAAAAGG